GAAACTCATTCCTGTATTCTAACTTTGCATCCCAAATACCTGTTGCTTTTTATGTGTCTATCAAAGGAATGGGACCAGGCAGACTGTGTCTCTTGTGTAGGGGTGTGTTCCAAGTGTAGTCTGTGGGATCTGACTGACAGAACCTAGATTCCCCCTAATGCAACCCCTCGAAGGCTGGCTTCAGGTTTCCCCTCATTTCTGAGCCCTCTAACCACCCTCAGTTGAGGCTTCCTCTACCCGGGGCTTCTGTGGGACTTTTCACGTGGTTAGAAAGGGGGGACCCTCCCCTCCACCAAGGTAAAGCCCAGAAACAGCTTAAGCGAGTTTTGGTTCTTCTTTTTTACTCCCTTGCTGAACGGAGACACTTGTGTGTGGACAGACTGTGACCTGTGATGCTCTGGTCACACTGAGTTCATGGCTCTTAGTCGTCATCTATGAGGAAGGGTCATAGAAGGGAAACTTAGAGCAACTTCACCTCGTTCTATGTCAGCCTCACCTCCTGAGGGCCGGGTTCCAGACATGCCCCGCTGAGGACCTCTGATATGAGGTGTGACACGATCCTGGAGGACAGAATCTCCTCCAGGTCCACATGGACCCACCTTGTCAGAGTGGGGTGACTTCTGGGCATACCTACTCTAGGTGCCAGGGTTCTTCTTCCTGGCTCTTAGCCATCAAGAAGTTTTGTTCAGATCTTGCACTCGTGCCGGGCGGTGGTGGCGCACGCCTTTAATCCCAGCACTTGGGAGGCAGAGGCAGGCGGATTTCTGAGTTCGAGAGTTCGAGGCTAGCCTGGTCTACAGAGTGAGTTCCAGGACAGCCAGAGCTATACAGAGAAACCCTGTCTCGAAAAACAAAAACAAAAAAAACCCCAAAAAAACAGATCTTGCACTCGTAAGGATTAGCTGCCTGCCGTAAGCCAGCAGGTGTGTGAGTGGTCAAAGGTGATCTTTGAGTTCAAGGGACAAAAGGGCCTCGGTGGGTAAAGGTGCTTGTTATACAAGCCTGCCGACTGATGGCCTGAGCTTCTTGCTTGTTCCCTGGAACCCATGATAGAAAGAGAGAATTCTGAAACATTGTTCTCTGACCTCCACACAGAGGTCACTGCACCTTGTACACACACACACACACACACACACACACACACACACACACCACACAAAAATAATATAATAATAACAGTAATTAAAATTCATTGATAAAAATGATGGGCGGGGAATAGAAGAGCATACCTTTAATCTCAGCACTTGAGAATCAGAGGCAGACAGATCTCTACGAGTTCAAGGCCAGCCTGATCTACAGAGCAAGTTCCTGGACAGGGAGGACTACTTAGAAAGATCCTGTCTCAGATGACAGTGGTGGCATACACCTTTAATCCCAGCACTCGGGAGGTAGAGGCAGGCAGATCTCTAAGTTTTAATCCAGCCTGGTCTACAGAATGAGTTTCCAGATAGGCAGGGCTACACAAAGAAACCCTGTTTCAAAAAGGCAAATAAAAAAAAAATCCTGTCTCAAAATTAGTTAAGTCATTAAAAATAATAAAAAAAGAGTAGCTAGTGAGACTCTTAATGGGCACCTGCCATCAAGCCTAAAAGCTGAGTGAAGTCCCTGGAACACAGATGCTGGAAAGAAAGAACTGAGCCCCACAAGTTGTCCTCTGTTGACTATAAATAAACAAATGTAAAAACAAAAAACAGGACTGGAGAGATGGCTCAGCGATTAAGAGCACTAATTGCTCTCCCAGATGTCCTGAGTTCAATTCCCAGCAACCACATGGGTGGCTCACAACCATCTGTAATGGGACCGGATGCCCTCTTCTGGTATCTAAAGACAATGACAGTGTACTCATATACATAAAATAAATAAATCTTTAAAAAGAACAAAAAACAAAAAACAAAAAACAACCCAAAAAACTTAGGACAAAGGAATGGTTGACTTATTAAGACTGTTGTTTCATAACTCAAAAGTTGGGAATGTTAAACCTATTGATCTGGAGAAGTGGACCAGTGACCAGCTGGGTCAAAGACAAGGAGTGAGGGGTGGGAAATAAAGTCACTGGGAGAAGCTCAGCAGACTCCTGAGAAAAATGTAAGACCACAGGGATTTATAATGCCAGCTCCCAAAAGACGCAGGCAAGAGGACTATGAGTTCTAAGCCAGATTTAGGCTACATAGAGACTCTTGTTTCAAACAAACAAGCCAACAAACACCCCCCTTCCCTCCAAATCTTTTCAAGACAACAACAGAAAGCATTAAACCAAGCCTGCAGTCCTTCCAAGTGTCTTCCACAAGGCAGGAAGTGCTCCTTGGGAGAGCTGGGGATGCAGGGGGCCTCGATTTCCAATTCCAGTATGACAGACAGACAGACAGACAGACAGTCAGACAGACAGACAGACAGTCAGACAGAGCAAAACAGAAACTTGATAAGCCACTAATACTAAACTTTTCTGCCGGTTCTGTTGTTTCCAGGACATGTATGCTATGACAGATTAGGGCAATGTGCCAAGGCCAGTCACAGCCTTTTGGAAGGTGAGCGGGGCTAAAAGGAGGATCAGTGTTTCAGAGTGACAACCACCCTTGAAGAGAGTGGGAGGTAGGTGAAGAAAGAATGTGCCTGATTGAAGGACTCCAGGGACAGGGTTATCTTAGAACCCCCAGACTCCTAGCTAGACCCTAAATGATGTCTGGGCATATAGCTCAGGGCCTTGGGTTTGATATGTGTCATGAAAAAAGTTGCCATGCTTCTCTCCTTGAAATGTAGGTTTGCTTCATGTCATGAGCACGTCCTGCTGTCCCTCTGGTCCCCACTACCACCTGTCTCTAGTAGGTCACGCAGTGATGTGAGGCGTGCAGTCAGGGGAAACTCTTGAGGTTTCTCAGAAGCCAGGAATGGCCAGGTCTCCAGGTGGTTACAAAGGCATTCAAGTGGGTCAGAGCTGATGGTCAGCTTGAGGGCAGAAGATACCAGCTAACCAAATCCGGGGCAGCCGGAGGCAGGGGTGAGGAGAAGGGAGGGAGCACACTCCCTTGGAGAATGGTTAGGTTTTAAAGGGGTCTGGCCTAGACCCTGACTAGGTTCAGCTGGCATCATGGGATGGCACTTGGGCAGTCCTGGGGATTCTGCACTTAGAAGGGCTTCATACTTTGTTTAATGCTTTCTGTTGTCTTGAAAAAAAATTTGGGTTTGTTTGTTGGCTTGTTTGTTTGAAACAGAGTCTCTATGTAGCCTAAATCTGACTTCAAACTCATAGTCCTCTTGCCTGAGCCTTTTGGGTGCTGGCATTATAAGTCTCTGAGATTTAAACATTTTTTTTTTCCAATAAGAGGCCCTAACTTTTGATCTTGCTTTGGTCCTGCAAACCTACAGCAGGTCCTGGGGCTGAACTGTAGAGGTTGGACCTGCTGTGATGAGGCTGGACCTGCTGTGATGAGCCCCAGCACCACAGGCCAGACACTTCTCAGCTTGAGACCAGGCTGAAGGAGCTTCTCTCAGCAAGCCCAGGGACACAGTGGGAAGAGTTATAAAGCAGACCACAGATGCTGGTGAGCTGGCAGAGAAGGGGAACACCTCAAGGTGTGCTTAGGGCAGGAGAGCTGATAGGGGTCAGGGTTTGGAGTTTTCATGGCCTAGCCCCAGAAAGCAGCTCATAGAGAAGAAGACCATGATGAAGGTTCCAAGTCCTCTGCTTCCCATAACCCACAGCCCTGGGGTTTTCCACTTGAAGTGCTCCTAACAGCGTCCTTTGGTCATCCAATAGCAAGCAAGTTAAATGAGCTACTGTGCTTAACTGGAAGACACTGGGCAGGTGACAGAGGCAGAGAGGGTGCTGGGCATCATCATCATCCTCTCTCTCTCTCTCTCTCTCTCTCTCTCTCTCTCTCTCTCTCTCTCCCTCTCTCTCAAACTCCCACCTAAGAAACTCTTCCAAGAATACCTTATCTCTAGAGATGACAGTCCCTTCCAGGACAAAGCAGCATGCTCCTAGACCTTTTTAGGAGTAATACAGCTTAGCATCCCCTGCTGCGTGACTTTGGTCACTGGGAACCTCTTCCTTGCCACCATCTGGTCTCCCACTTTCTTCATCTATACAAAATCACTGTCTAAAAGCTTCCAGCCAGGGATTAGTTCCCTTTTGTCTAGACCGTCCGCTGTTTGAGGGCAAAGATTAGGTTCTCAGCTTCTCCATCCAACACAGATGGATACTGTGTTATGCCTTAATGATAAAATTATACAGCAAGATGGACAATTACATATACATTGTTTGAGACAAGGGCTCAGTGTATCCTAGGCTAGCTGAGGATGAGTTTGAATTCCCAAGCCTCTTCCTTCCCTCTTTCTCATGCTAGGATTATAGGCGTGTACCACCATACTAAGTATGTGTGCGGAGGAAGAGCCTAGTGTCATGCATGTTTGGCAAGCAATCTACCAACTGAGTACCCGACCAACCCCTCCTCTCCCCACTAACAACTACACACTGACCGATTGACTAGCACTGCCGGCAAGCCGACATCAAGAAAACTTGCAGCCGGGCAGTGGTGACGCACACGTTTAATCTTAGCACTTGGCAGGTAGAAGCAGGTGAGTTTGAGGCCAGCCTGGGCTACAGAGTTCCAGGACAGCCAATGCTTCACAGAGAAACCCAGTCTCAAAAAAACAAATAAAACCAAAACAAAATAAGCAAACAAAAAAACCCCTTCTTGCCATTGTAACCCAAAGAGACAAAGAGAAGCTTCTCTATTTAAGAAGGAAGAGGCAGAGCTGTGTACCCAGTCATACAACAAGGGAGGGATGCAAGACCCATGTCTCCCACCTCCCTTTGGCATCTATTAAGAGCAACAGATACGGCAAACAATACGAGTCTAAAGAGTGCAGGTACCCGTGCGTTTGTCCATGTTCTATAATCCTTGTGGGGAGATTCCCAAGCTGTCCCCTCTCCCTTGACATAGTATATTTAAAATTCCAAGCAGGACCCGAGCAACAAGGAGCCGCATGACTCTACTCACCAGGTCATCTATGTTATAGGTGATGGAATCCATGTCCAAGGTTAGTGGGTAGTTCATAGCTGCAGTTCTTCGTCACCAGGCTGGTCGCTGTCTGATGCTGAGAAGGTCTGTGTCGGTGCCTATGGAGAGGTGGCAGGCGTCAGCCGGGAGCTTAAACAAATGAGCCATGTGCGGTCTCCTGGGGCCAGGGAGGGCTTGCTGCTTACCTCTCAACTCATCTCTCTCTCTCTCTCTTTTTTTTTTCCACTGGGTCTTTTCTGGTGTGTGTGTGTGTGTGTGTGTTTTCCCCTTTCTTTTCTTTTTTTTTTTTTTTTTAAGAAAAAGGGAAACTCCCCCCTGCAGAATCAGTACTAGCCAAGCATTTCAGCATCTTTCCTGGCAATCATGGTCTGAACTGGGCCAAAGGTCTGGTGTGAAGGCAGCCCCTCCCTTCTGCTCCCTGGACCTCTGTGAGGGATGCAGATAGACTTGGGAAACTCCTCATAGAAAGGGGTTAGAAAAGAGTACGTCCAGCCTCCTGTAGACACTCGCTTACCTCATCACTAAGGTGACCAACCACCCCAGTTTGCCCAGACCAAAAGAAAGTCCCCTGCCCTGGGAAACCCCTCAGTCCCAGGTGAACCAGGGCACCTGATCCATCTGTGACTGCCATCCTTTTGCCCAGCTATGGAGGAGGAACTCTGCCCCCTCCCTCTTTCCAGCTCAAGTTTGAAAGAGTTAAATTAGAAATTTTCAAAGGGAACAACCCTAAGATAATACTAGAAGAAGAAAAAAAAAGTGAAACGAAATTACCAGACAAGAGCGCAATATAAACACAGCCACAGAGCCATCTCTGACTCAGAAAAAAAGGTGTTTCACCACAAATAAACTTGTAGACACCTGGTTAGAAAGGACATGGGTGGCCACATAGGCCACCCCCCACACCTCCAATTTCACACGAGAGGGCTCTGAAGCCCAGAGACAGAAACTGACTTACCCAGGATCCCTTGCCTTGCACCCAAGCGTCCTGACTGCACGTTTGTCATCCTCTGCTCCGGTCATAGCTGCTCTGCAGGTTCACCGTGCCCGCGCTCTGCCCCTGCTCTGTCCCATCCTGAGAGTTGCTTCTTTCATGAAGACCTGTGGTGGACATTGATCCATTTCCCCTCCAGGTCTTGTCCTGGTGGGCTTTCTTCCATGGGAGGGCATTTCCTGACTTAGTTCACGATAGTGTAAGATTGTGCCCAAAGGCACTACATATGGTGCGCTATTTGTGTGTGTGTGTGTGTGTGTGTGAGAGAGAGAGAGAGAGAGAGAGACAGAGAGACAGAGAGACAGAGATACAGACAGAGACAGGGAGATAGACAGACAGAGACATAGAGACAGACAGAGACACAGAGACAGACAGAGACATAGAGACAGACAGAGACAGAGAGACAGACAGAGACAGAGAGACAGACAGAGACAGAGAGACAGACAGAGACAGAGAGACAAGAGATACAGAGACAGAGATACAGAGATAGAAAGACAGACAGAGATAGAGAGAAAGACAGAGACAGACAGAGGCAGAGAGACACAGAGACAGAGACAGACAGACAGAAACACAGAGACACAGAGAGACAGAGACAGAGAGACAGACAGACAGAGAGAGAAGCAGAGAGACAGAGAGAGACAGAGAGACAGAGACAGAGAGACAGACAGACAGAGACAGAGAGAGAAGCAAAGAGAGAGAGAGAGAGAGAGAGAGAGAGAGAGAGAGAGAGAGGGCCTATGGAGATGAGAGAACAACTTGCGGGAGTTGGTTCTCTCCTACAACTTGGGAATGTGAGACCTGGGGATCAAACTCAGGTGGTCAGGCTTGGTGGCAAGTGTCTTTCCCTGTTGAGTCATCTTGGTGGCCCCAAAAACTGCTCTTAAGGAGGAAGAAGGCCAGGACAAGGGGCTGGAGTCCCCTCTAGCACATCTAGTCCTGTATTGCTCAGGGATACACGGCCTCAATGCTTGCTGGGTCTGGAGCTGACTAAGCACCGTTCATCCTTCCAGCTCTACGCCACTTCATCTTGCCCAGCAACAGACACACGTCAGCTTCTGCTGCTCTGAGCGCACTGCTCAGGAAAGACAAAGCATGAGAATCTCCTAGGAGTAGAAAGGGACTTCGAAAGACAAGCCAGTCACTCCTCAGTCTACCCGCCCCTCGTCCCCAGGCAATGCAAAATAAGAGACCAGAGCATCCTCATCAAACAGTCAAGGGGGAGAAAGTTGCTTCATGAAATCAAGTTTCCTCAGATGTGAGGGTGAATGTCTGTCACCCAAGCACTTGGGAGGATGACACAGGAAGATTTTGAGTTTGAGGCTACAGCGGTCTATGTGATGAGACCCGTCCATAAAGTAAAACGCAAAGGGGAAAGGTAGGTCATGTCTCAGAGTGGGATGATTTAGTGTTTAGAATTAGAAACCGACTCCTCATGTTGAGTCAAAATGTATCTTCTATGACATCCCCAGCTGTCCCCGCTGGGCCTCAGACAGAACCCTGTAGCATGTCTCCCAAGTGACCTCTGGGTACAGACATCATGTGCCTGTGAATCTCATGTGTCCCAACCCACATCCTAATGTCTTCAACTATAATTCAAAGAACTGGTTTCTGGGTGCCTTATCAGCCTGTGCTTTGACCTTAGGTGATTTCCTGTCAGTGGTCCAGAAAGCCAGTGACAAGGACAAACTATGGAAAAGGGAGTTTCCTTGTTCAGGGACACTGAATATATTTAGTTGCAATTAGCGTGACCTTTTCTGTAGGCGCCTTTTACTCTCGGCAGCACGCTTAATGTTGATGGTTCTAAGCCACCACTGGATTTTATGAAGGGAAACCTGTCATCTGTGGATGTGATGACAACATGAAAAAGCCATCCCTCGGACTAGCCAGGTCCTGATAGGATGACTCTTGGCAGGATAAAATCAAAACCAGCCTCTTACTTCATAGAGCTAGACACTTCCGAGGTCGGAGAAGACATTATGGAAACATTAGGGAGGTGTGTGTGTGTGTGTGTGTGATGAGGATGGAGGACTGCATGAAAAAGTGTGTGGAAAGAATTGTACCACTCGCGACACACTGTGGCGGACACTCAGCACTGGGTGTGGTGATGCGGATGGAGATGAGGAGGTGGGCGGAGCCTGGGATTGATCTGGGGCTGTCTCTTCCCTGATTCTCTATCGCTGTACTTTTCTCAGGCTGTGTGGTAGACTCAGAGGGAGTGTCAGGAGGGTTCAGAACTCTTCCTTTCCTTTTCCTTTTCTTTCCTGCCTCAAGAAACACGTGGTAGGAGAGAGCCAACTCCCAAAAGTTGTCCTCTGACATCCACATAAGTGCTGTTGCACACACACACACACACCACACACACACACACACCAGAATGTAATTGTGATGACTAATCTTGGTTGTCAACTTGACAGAACTTGGAAGAAGGAACCACATCAGATGTACCTGTAAGCAAGTCTGTGGAACATTCTCTCTTTCTCTTTCTTTCAGATTTATTTTTATTATTTTATGTGTATGAGTGCTTTGCCTAGATATTAATCTGTGCACCACACACGTGCCTGTTGCCTGAGGAGGTGCTGAGCCTCCAAGCTGGGAAGCAAACCTGGGCCCTTTGCAAGGACAAGTGTCCTTAATCATGGAGCCAACTTCCCAGCATCCTCCTTTCCTATCTATCTGTCTATCTATCTATCTATCTTTTTTCAGGATTTTTTCTTTTTTTTTCCTTTTTTTTTGTTTGTTTGTTTTTGTTTTTTTCGAGACAGGGTTTCTCTGTATAGCTCTGGCTGTCCTGGAACTCACTCTGTAGACCAGGCTGGCCTCGAACTCAGAAATCTGCCTGCCTCTGCCTCCCAAGTGCTGGGATTAAAGGCGTGCGCCACCGCGCCACCACTGCCTGGCCCAAGGGGCATTTTCTTGACTGCTGATTGATGTGGGAGACCCAGTCCACTGTGGGCAGTGCCAGCGATGGTGGGCGGTGCCAGCGGTGGTGGGCGGTGCCAGCGTTGGTGGGCGGTGCCAGCGATGGGCAAATGGTCCTATGAACTGTCTACGAAGGCAGCTGAACCCGAGCCTGGAAGCAAGTCAGCAAGCAGCATTCTTTCCTGATTTTTATTTCAGTTCCTTCCTCGAGGTTTTCACTCTGGGCTTCTCTGAATGACGGGCGGTGACATGGAGATATAAGTCAAATAAACCCTTCCCCCCATTTTATCACAGCACCAGAGAAACAAACTAATACAGTAATAAAAATAAATAAGATATATAGGTAGGTAAATAAAGAGATGGGACCCAAAGTGGTGTGGAGGAGCTTCTATCTGCAATCTTTTAAAAACATTTTATTTATGTATGTGAGTATTCTGTCGTTGTCTTCAGACATACTAGAAGATTGCTGGGAATTGAACTCAGGACCTTTGGGAGAGCAATTAGTGCTCTTAAGCACTGAGACATCTCTCCAGCCCCTCTATCTGCAATCTTAACAGACAATAGAGTGCTGAGGCAGGAGGATTTCTGTGATTTTAAGGCCATCCTAGATGACCTGAATGTTCACTGCAAGACACTGCCTCATAAGCCCAAGCCCAAAACAGAAGCAGAGGTGGAGCAGAGGGAGGTTTAGGCTACAGTGACACTCTCTCTAAGCATCTAAACCATCACACAGATGGCCTCCTCTGCCACGAGGCTCTGCCATAAACTGCTGCCACGCCCCGAAACAGTGACATTAGCTGGTGATGAACTAATACCTCGAAAACTGTGAGCCAAAATAAACCTTTGTAAGCTGATGGTTGCAGATAGTTGCTATGGTAACTGAAGTCTTCAAGCTCATAGGACCAGACTAGCTTCCTCAGGATGGAGAAGGTGGTGGCTATGCAGTGGCCTCGACTTAAAAGATGTGAAGGCAGAGGTTTCAACTCTATGTTACAGTCAGCTGGGGTGGGATGCTTCCAGGTAGGACAACCAAGATTATGTTTCAGTTTGCAGCTTGTGTGTGATTCCCAATTTCTACCCTGTGGACAGCTTTCCCGAGGCTGAATTACTCTTCCCCAAGCTTCTCACTGAAATGACCAGTGGTGGCTCTGCCAGAGCTGGATTTGTGTCTGGCTTAGGTGACTGCTTAAGCTCCAGCTCAGGTGGATTTTTCTCAGTAATTATGCTTTGCTGTTAATAGGTTGTATTACATTTCCATTTGTTCTGGCTATTAGTTATAATCACTTGTATCCACAGAAAAAATTAACTTGTTCCACAGAGGTTTAGGGTATGGCTGGAGGGAATAGGTCCCCTCTGCCTCAGCCTTTTATTAACCGGGAGTGTTCTTCTCTGTTCCTGGGTAGAGACCTCCTTGTTTTCCCTCTGGGTCTCTTTCAATGGTGACCAATAACACTTCCCAGCTCATTAACTTCAGAAACAGGAGGGTCCCTCTAAGTCTGTAAGGAAAATTATAGATTTTAACAGCATTCGATGCATTACACAGTCCTGTGGTTCTCAAATTTAGCTTTTCTCGATCTTTATACTTCACTGTATCTGTCTGTCTGTCTGTCTGTCTGTCTTTTTTTTTTAATTTTTATTTTCCAGATAGGCTCTCATCATGTAAAGGAGACTGGCTTTGAATTCACAGAGATCCACTTGCCTCTGGCTCCCAAGTACTGGGATAACAGCTATGTGACACCATACCCAACTCGCTCTTCCCCCCCCTCTAGTCCCAGGGGTCAAACCAGGGACCTCCCATAAGCTAGGCCAGTATATTGAGCTGCTGCCCGAGCCCCAAACATTCACGGTGCATCCAAAATTGTCAAAACATCTGTGTAGAAGTTATTGGCATGGTCCCTGCCATATTTAAGGGCTGGAAAGTAGAGAAACAGTCCCTTCCCTCCTCCTCCCTTTCCTCCTCCTTTTTCTTTTCTTCTTCTCAAGATTGTAATGGGAAAGGTTTAGAGAGCCAGAGTCTGAAGGCAGCTCCATAGGTATCAAACCTGATTCCACACAAGGCCTCATGATCAGAGAATTTGCAAAAGATTTGTACTTTCCTGACTGTCTCAGGGGAAAACTA